CTGAGTTAGTGTATGAAGAATTTGATCAAAGTGATATCCGTCCGGTAAGTCAAACTACCCATTTAGGTTTAATCGCATCTAAATTTTGTATAGTAAGAATGAAAATTGAACGTGTGAACGAATTTATATTATGATATAATCACTCTGTGCTATTGAGACCAACCACGCGCTCTGATCTCCCTATTAAACATTTCCGTTTTGTTCGGCGGAGCTTCGCCTGGTTTCTTAAGATTAAAATCTATTCAGATCTTCTTGTTTGCGTAAAATCTTCCTGTTTGCGTAAAATTCTCCGTATATATTTTGTTTGCTGCAATGATTGCAAAAATAGAAAGGCATGTAGTATGTATTGATCGCTGCCTCTGATGTACGGACCCTTGAATATATATGACCAACGCTTCTTAATTTTGTAGCAACGAAACTTTGTTCAGAACGGCGAACTGCTTGTTCGAATTTTAGTCTAGTTTGGCTGCAGATTTTCTGCCTTTGAATTGTTTATCACTTGTGATTTTTCTTAGTCTTGAACCAGAGTTTTCTATCACTTTCTGTTCTTCGTTCAGCACTCAGCAAATGATGACAGTTTCCCTCTGCTCAAATCCGCCTTTCGTATCGTCGTGTAATTTATTTTCAGCTCCTCATGGAACATTTTTTTTCCAAGCGACATTTTAAGGAGATTACCAAGTCTTTCAGATCCCTAGGATGCGCATACTAAGTGCACTTAGACTTGTGATACCCACACGGCTTTGTACATAATTATCGATACCAAAAGGGTTAATCCATATGGAGAAATTACGCTCTCAATTAATCTTCTCAACCTTTATTTTCACCGGCTATATATGATGTTTAACGCTTACTTAAGGGAGAATATCGTACAGTCAAGTAGGACATCGTTGGTAGATGATGAAACTGAAGAAACCTTTACGTTCAAAAAGAATCCTAGCTGACCACCAGATTAAGGCAGTGATATAGAAACTAAAAAGACGTAGAATGTTACTTAATGAGGGGAGCATACGAAATTAGAGTTCACTTTGAACGCTTATTGAAAACCACTGACAAGAAATATATTTTTTTGACAAAGTTATGGTTAAATTGTTGAATACGAGAAAAATGCATACAGAAGGCTGTCGTTTATGATCCTCGGATCCTGAATGTTCTGAACACATCTTTAAACTGAGCAAGATTAATATCTATCAGTATAGCAAAGCTTCCAGCGAGTACAATCATTAAACAGCAGGGTTTTAGTTAATCAAGGCGTAAAACATCATCATCGAATCGGCATGTGCTAAAACCCAGACGGTGGATTCTGGACGATAGACGATGGACGATGGACGATGGACGATGGA